GGTGCCACTCTGTATAGAATCCAATCAGCTTCCAGGTTTTATTGTCAAAGCTTAATTGAACAAGCTGAAGTTAGAAGCGGATTGGCTACCATACACAGTGGCACCAGATTTTGCACTCTCCAGTTTTAGTAAATCAACCCCCATGAGTTATAGCAGTGATTTATCTCTTATGAAACACCCCATTAAGAGGTTTGATGGGCAAATTGCATATTACATATTTCCTCACTGAATTCTAAGCCTCCAATATCCCGGTTATCTTAGCTGCCTCTATTCTATAGGACTGTGATTGTAAACTTACTATATGGACAAGCCAGCTCACTATTCTCCCTTCAGGAATGTGCATTTTTCTTTAGAAGTCATACTGCTCCAAGGGGGGTGGGTTGGACATTTCCTTCCATACAAGTCCTCTATATAACACACACACAGCTTTATTATTTATTTATTTCAGGTACTTATAAAGCGCCATCAATTTTCACAGCGCTTTACATATATATTGTACATTCACATCAGTCCCTAACCCTCAAGGGGTATACAATCTAAGGTCCCTAACTCACATTCATACATACACATACTAGGGACAATTTAGACACTTATAATAACATTACTGTGTTATGTATGGGTTTATTCTGATCATCGGCCACTCCATCATGGAGGGACCGTGGTGGAAACAGCATCTTTAGTTAAGTATTACTGTTATATTTTCTAATATCTGTATCTATCATTACTTGTATTAAACGTTATAGGTATTTGTGTGATCTCTCTTTCCACATATTGAATACAACCCCAAAAAAGAAAAACTATCACATTTCAGTGACCAAAACAAGGTTTTAGTCAAAGGAGAGATGCAAAGTAATCAGTGTTGGTGGAGCAGTCTTTAGCTAACCCAGAGTGCTCTGGAAATACTTTGTCATGCATTATTTATTTGTAAAACAAAAATTGTAAACAAAGAATGAAACAGAAATAAAACAGTTGAAAACATTTAATAAAAAAAAGTAAAATAAAATGTATCCTTACCCGCATAAATTAATACTAGGCTGTATATGTTTCAAAAGTATCTGCCCCCTGCTGTGCTGAAAACAGAACTCTTCTTTAATCACCTCTAACACTATGGTGTTTCTGTGTTCCAGATGCATGTAGCTGCTACCCTTGCCAGCCCTGATGTTAGCCAAGGTCCTAGCATGGGCAGAGGCAGCATCATACAACCTGTAAACACTCTTTAGGCCGGTTCACACCATGAAACGCACAGGAACATGCGGTGTGTTCCTGCGTGACTCACATGCGATCCAGATGAAGAAGTGCAATTTCAGCACACTCTTCTGGATACGCTAAAATCGCACCTGACCACACCAAAAAGTAGTGCATGCACTACACTACAAAAGGCACAACAAGCAGATCGCATGGTACTACTATACCAATCAATCCAATGCAGGCAAGTGCACTGCATTTGCCACCTGTGTTTGGGGTGCCGTTAACACCCGCTGAAAATGGCAAGTGCAGTGCGTTTTGAACGTGGTGCGGGAAATTGCTTTCCCTCGCTGTGTTCCGGTGTGAACTGGCCCTTACTACAGATTTTCCCTGGCCACTGCCAGGACTCTGGCTGATGGCAGGGCTGACGGCTGGAAGCAGCGGTGTACCACAATCAAATACAACACAGCACATGCTTATGGGAGTAACTTAACTAAAAATGTATGCTTTATCCATGCAACAAGTTGCTTTCTTGCCTCTCCCCAATCCAGGAGCACAAACTTCCCATTCCCTTCTTCCCCTGCCACTCGGAGCAAGTAAAGGAAGTCCTATGTAAGTTCTAAGTTGCTCTGGGTATAATGCACACATAGCCAAGAACTCACTCCCCATCCCAGTCTGACAGCACTGGATCAATCACCAAACATCAGAAGGGCAGGGAGTCACATGCTCATCCATACCCGAGACGTATTGGTTCATATCTTCACTCCTGTTAGCCAAACAAAGAGCAAGTATCTGCAGTGGGGGGTATTAAACCGGTTGCTTTGCCCTGTACATGGTTGGTAGAAGAGTGCGTAACATGCTCCCCACACCCATAAATTCTCTTTGCACCATAAGGGCCAAAACGAAGATTGAAGGGAAAAAGGGAACATGTGCAGCTGGAGAGAGGGGGGGCCGTTCTGTAAATCTATTGCTTCATCCTACATGGGCAATGTGCAGGTTGATTTTGATGTTCAATCTAGAGAAAACCAATATTTCTGCAGGGATACCTGTGGGTTGATTAATCCACCAGCTTCTTCTATCTCTTGGGGCAATGATGTTCATTGCAGATTCTGTTATTAGCAAAATCTCCTGAGCTTTAGATCAGAATAATTGCCTAGCTATGACTAACACTTACACCAGAATTAGTTACTACATGAGAGAGCCAGGATCTAAAGGAATTATATCGACTGTTTAGCAAGATTTGTGTTTCCCAAATTCTGGGTTGAGAATAATACATTTTATTTTAATTCCTATACAAGAAACAAAGCAAAGAATTACGCTCAAGGTTGGAGATTACTTTACAGAACACAGTGGATACTGAAATAGAACTATTGACAATAACATTGTAAAAAGAAAAGAGGAATGTATAAAATTAAAAAAGAGAAGTATGGCTAAACCTGTAATAGTTTTACTTCTCTTTCGGGGGTCACAGGAGTACATTTACTAATCATCTCCTGTATCCAAAGAACAAAGGTATACCACTCAGGCAAACAATCCAGATCAATCCATGACAGGTGCAGGCTCTGGCTCGCCACCACACACGATGCAACAGGAAAAAGGGTCAGCCGCACTCCAGTGGATTGATGAATATAGTGTATATTTATTGATCCATAGGACACAAAAAACGCCAGGACATGAATACAGGACCTGTTAACACGTTTAACACGATTTTGTGCTTAATCGTAACAAAGAAAATAACAAAAATGCTGTCTTATATAGGTATTAGTTAATAAAGAACACCTGTCCTAATCAGCACTCCTGAATCCTGAGGATACACCTACTAGTACAATGTACCATTGTATCAAAAATAGTGATATCAGAAAACAACAAAGAAGGAAGAAAAGAAAAAGGAAAACGAAATGGAATAAAAAGAGAAACAGAATGTGTTTTGCGTTTTTTTTTTTTTGTATATATTATTAAAATTTTGATCATTTACAAGTGTGGCTTCTCAGCCCATATCATCTTGGGATATTTACTTGCTTTTTTCTGTGTTTGTGTATGTTATTTCATTTTTTATTTTACTTTTCATTTACAATTTTTATTCATTATTCTTTTCCTCTTTCTTTGTTTGTCTTTTTATTCCATTTCGTTTTCCTTTTTCTTTCCTTCCTTCTTTGTTGTTTTCTGATATCACTTTTTGATACAATGGGTTTATATGTTTTGTTACAATATACTAGTAGGCGTATCCTCAGGATTCAGGAGTGCTGATTAGGACAGGTGATTTTTTATTAACTAACTCCTATATAAGACAGCACTTTTGTTGTTTTCTTTGTTATAATTAAGCACGATATCATGTGAAACGCGTTGACAGGTCCTGTATTCATGTCCTGGTGTTTTTTGTGTCCTATGAATCAATAAATATACCCTATATTCATCAATCCTCCAGAGTGCGGCTGACCCTTCTTCCTGTTTAATCATCTCCTGTAACTTACAGTCAGCTGATGGTGGGTTATTGCAGAGCTGGGTCAAGATCAGGAAGAATCCTGACAACACTGTCAGGATCTGCCCAGTTGCCTGGTTTTCAGTTGGCTCCACTTTCTGTGGCTCGTTTGTGACCTGAGCCAGCCGCACCTGTCCCTCCCCCTCCTCCCCAGCCTGGCACTTCAGTGATTGTTGGAGGAGCAAAGCAGGGTGCAGTTCAGCATGACTAGCTGCGAAAGCCTGCAACATCCCACTTTTAATCAAGCTGCCTACTCACAGCTAATTGCGGGAACCACCACTGGTGTTCTTTAATGTAATCACAAGCAGGGTGCATTTGCAAGTGTGAATGCACCCTTATGCTTACCTTTTCCACCTAGTTCTTCCATTCATAAAAGCGGATACTACAGCTTACATGAAATGTTATCTATGAACAGAGGATGGGGCAGATGAATAAAAGGTTCGCCCCCTCCATTCAACTTCTATGAACTCTTCACACTAGTCAGCTGCGGATCCATTGCTTTTTTTTTTAAAAGTTCTGCAAAAACCACACCATTGAAATGAATGGAAAATGTATCAAAAATGCAGCGAAAATGCATCAAAAATGCAATTGCATTTGCAGTGCGTTTTCTGAGTCACGTCCTTTTTTCACAAGTCCAAAACGCACAGAAAATGCGACAAAAATGCATATGTGTTTTTATCGCGGAGCAGTGTGAAAGTAGTCTTAAGCTCGCTAACCAGTCACCGATCGTCAAGTTGTTGTACCGGGACGTATTGCTGTCACAAGGGATATTTACATTCTTTTTGACAGCAAAAAAGTGATCAAACTTATTTTTTTTAAAGTGACAGTGTAAAAAAAATTAAAGCACTCCCATCTATCCACAACCCCTCACCCCCTGTGCTTGTGTTTAAAGGTGAACGAGCACAACGGTCCCACATGCACGCAAGCAGCGATTGGGGTATCGCTGCGAATGTCAGATTACACTGTTCAACAAATTTTTATTTTTTGCCAGTTTTGGAAACAAAAGGATCCATTTCTTAATGAATTTCACATTCTGAGTTCAAATATAACAATGAAAATTTGTCAATTGGCTCTAGTTTTTCTGTAAACGGAAAGTTTTCTACTATAGGCGTAATGACTACATAATGCACAATAATTATTAAATAGATGTCTTTCCACAAATATAAAGCAAGTGATATTGACTACATAACAAAGCCTAAATGGCATAATATATTGCATAGGATTACCAAGAAAAATTATAGCCATAAGCTAAGTTGAATCATTTTAATACTTAGGATTCTCACTAGTTTTGTCTTCAGTTTGTGTCGGTTTTGCTTCTCTTGGCTTTTCTCTTGTATTCGAGGAAAGGGCTATCTCTTACAACTGTCCAGCAATAGTCAGCAAGCATTGATGGGCTCCATTTACCTTGATATCTTCTTTCCATAGCTGCAATGTCTTGATGGAAGCGCTCTCCGTGTTCATCACTCACTGCTCCACAGTTTGGTGGGAAAAAATCCAGATGCGAATGTAGAAAATGAATTTTTAGAGACATGTTGCAACCCAGATTTCTGTAAGTCTGGATGAGTTTTTCTACCACTTTCTTGTAGTCTGGTGTTTTATTGTTTCCAAGAAAATTTTATGTCACTGATACAAATGCTGTCCAGGCAGCCTTTTCCTTTCCACGCAACAGAGAAAGAAACTCATCAGTGGGTGTGGATGGAAGAAAGTCTGGGTCATGTGAGGTTGACGGTTGATGACTACACGCTTCAGGTTCTTCCTCACTTGACTCAACCACGAAGGATTCTGGTGCTTTAGGAATTGGTAGCCCCTCTCCATGAGGAACTGGACGTATTGCCGATGGAATATTTGGATAGTGCACAGATAACTTTTTCTTCTTATTTAGCCCTTTTACAATTGGAGGCACCATACAAAAGTAACAATTACTAACATGATCTGTTGGCTCTCTCCAAATCATTGGCACAGCGAAAGGCATAGATGCCTTTTTTCCATTCAACCATTGCTCCAGTGCCGTCCCACAAGAATTGCAGCATATATGTGGTGCCCAGCTCTTGTCCTGGTCTCCCATCTTGCAGCCAAAATACAAGTTGTAGGCTTTCTTAATCATTCCTGTTATCCTCCTTTTCTGTGAGATAAAAGTTATTTCACCCGCAGATATAGCAGAAATTATCTGCTTTATTCACACAAGTTCGAGGCATTACTGAGTAGCCTATATAAGCATAAAACGAAATGTAAAGACGCTGTCGAACTACAATCAGCTACAGATACTGCAGCTTTTATGCAGTGAAGTGATGCAATTAAAGGCTAATATTGCATCATCTCAGTATACATGCAATTTTCTATTGGTCCCAGTATCAATTGCGCAATATGCAGCTGAAGTTGCATCATAATTTTGAATGGCTTACGTCATTAGATGGGTGAATATATCATGGAAACTAGAGCCAATCAACATTTTTTAGGGTCATTTTCGTTTTCAGCTCCCCAAAATTATGTAAGATTAGCTAATTTTATGCCCAAAACTTTTTACCTGTTGAACAGTGTTATGGGCAGTAATTCTAACACCAGACCTCCTCTGTAAATCTAAAGTTATCACCTGGAAAGGCTTTTATATAATTGCCTATGCATAGTAACATTTACGTCATTTGTCTGTTGCACGGGCGTGCGCAATTTTAAAGCGTGACATGTTTGGTATCTATTTACTCAGTGTAACATCATCTTTTATATTTTAGAAAAATGTGTGGGTTTTTTTTGGCATTTTCCCAAAAAAATTACTTTAGAAAAATCGCTGTGCAAATACTGTGACATAAAAAAATTGCAAAACCCACCACTTTATTCTCCACAGCCTCTGCTTTAAAAAAATATACATAATGTTTGAGGGCTCGAAGTAAATTTCTGAGATAAAAAAAATTATCGTTGCATGTAAATAAAAAGTGATAGAAAAAGTCTGGTCCTTAAATCGGAGCTCCACCCAAAAGGGGAAGTTCCGCTTTAAGCCTTGTGCCACGCTCCCCAATAAGGATTGGTACCTTTGGGGAGCGGGTACCCAAATTTGACAGGTACTCACTCCCACTTCCGCTGCGCTCGCCTAGGTGATTGGAGCAGAAGTTGTTCTCTCCCTCTCTCCCCCGTAGTCTTCTGGGACACGTGACAGGTCCCAAAAGACTACGGGGCCATTCACAAAGCGCAGCGCTTCTCGCGCATGTGCAGTGGGCACCCAGCTGTGAAGCCGCAAGCTGTCACAGCCAGGTGCCCACAATGAAGATTCCGACGGCGGGGAGAGAAGATGGCTGTCATTGCATCCTCAGGTCCGATCCATTAGCTACACAGGAAAAAGGGATGATGGGAGCCACCCTCATTCACAAGGGCCCCCGAGTATATGGTATTTAAATGTTGAAGAAATTGATCTGGGAAGTATAGCAAACTTTATACTTCCCAGTTCAATTTCTCCTGCACTGAAATGTACCTGTGTGTACAGTTTACATGCATTTAGACACATTCAGAATATCTAATATGCCCTCTGTATGCATTTCAATACTTCGTTTTCAATTCTCATAAGATTTACCTTTAATCAATGCAAAATCCTCATCGCTCTGTACCAGACACAATTGGCACATTATATGCTGTATCTAAGCCAACAAGAAAACATTGACAGTAAAATAGACGATGTTGAAACCCACAACCTCCACTGGTACTTACAAGTCCCAAATCTTTTGCCTTCGATTCCTGTCAAATGGTCTGAACAATTAAGAGGAACCATTAGTGAAAACAGATGTACTGGATGCAAGATAAGAATCATACTCTGCACAGTATTCCTTAGTAGACTCTTATGTGGCGTCCCAGACTGATACATTTCTTCATTAACCATCTGTTCCAAACACAATGTAGTATATTCTTTTCCTGATTATCTCAGTCATCATCATGGACTATTTTTAATCCTTATGCTGCTTGCATTGGGAATAGATAGGAAAGTATATCATATTTGCTTGTTTTAAACTTTTTTTTTTTTTTTTTTAACTCAGTTACTTCCTAGTTTCCATACCTAGGAAAATGATGTCATACAACCCAGGAGTTTTCAGGAGGGGTTTTCTCAGCTAAGCACACCTTCTTGCCTGCATGCCTGATCTAAGTGCAGACGGATTTCAAGAAAATAAATGCTGCATGAACCATCTGCCCTTACTCAAGATGGCCATGGCCAAAAATGCTAGGGGTAGAGAATATCTTTGGGGGAGGGGGGAAGGTCTTTTACAAACTCTGAAGTCTGTAGGACAAAAAATAAAAAAGCAATGGAAAAAAATTGCAAAAATATTCCAGTGAAGGGCCTGGCAGCGAAAGGGTTAAGGGAGTGCACTATAATGGCTGTGAATTCTAGGAGCCGTGACTTCACTCATAGGCTCCAAAGGCCCATCTGTTGTTGAAGCTCCCTCCTCTCCCCTGCAGCAGCTCACCGACGCAAAGCAGCCAGAGCTTCATGATCATGTGATTCAGTGCTGTGCCAGAGATAGACAGCGCTGCTCTCTTTCTCCTTCTTCACTGGACTGTGACAGCAGATGGAGCCATTGTCTCCTGCGGCTCCCAATCAAATCTAGTAATATGAACGTGGGGGGTGAGGATGACCATGGTTTGGTATTGAACCTGCACAAGTGCTACCATAGTAAGCTGCTTCATATGGTGGCACACAGAGAAGAGGAGGAGCCTAGGACGCCGGTGGAGATCTTAGAAGAGGAGAATTGCAACCATTGCATGTTTGTGCTTTAAAAAAAAAAAAAAATGTAACCTGACAATCATTTTAAGGTTGCTGGATGTGAGCAGAGACATTGAATCCACATGAGACTCCTCTGCAACAGAGCCATGTCTGATTGGCTGCTATACAATTCAGCACTTTGAACACTACGACTGCTCTTTGCACTGACTGCATAAACCCAGACAAGAGCACACTCACAGAACTCTTCCGTTATTCTCACCGAGGAGTAATTAGTGACATTTCCGTTAAGGAAAAAAAAGCTGCCGTTTAGTCATAACAGTCTGCCACACGGATACTCAATACGTCTTTTACTAGAAAAGAAAGTGAGTGTATAGTAACTCATGAATAGTACAACACGTATAATTCCCCCGATGGTCTACACCTTTCCAGGAAATGCGCAAGAAAGAAAAAAAAAAAAACGTTTTTAAAAGCAATGTCTAGGACAGAAACTCACCTTCTGTTTGCAGTATCTGTGGCCACTATAGGATATGACTCTACACCAACTTCTATGTTGTTGCCTAGCAACATGTAAATGTAAAAAGTATACACCCCACATACATTGCAACCGCAGGCATGTTATTACATTCCATTGACAGCACAAGGCTTCCTGGATTTCTGCCTTCGTTTTCACACAGAAACATTTAACAAAAAAAAAAAAAATACTAACAGCTAAAGTAATAAATAATGAAAATCATTTTAGACTAAGGCTGCATTCACATTTAGCTTTACATGAATGCGCTCAAAATTGCATCACGCACATGCATGTTTTTTGCATCACACACAAAGCAGCTTGTGTACATTTTAAGCGCTGAGCTTTGCGTGTTAACTGGACATTTTGCCACATTTCATGCATTTTTTTTTTAATACGGAAAACACATTTTTTTTCTTTTTTTTTTGGTACCATTAACAATGACTGGCAAAGCAAGCAAAACGTACATTATTTTGCACGTTCCCAACAGGGTAAGTTTACCTTTGGGAACATTTTACCGGTTTTAGGGTGGAACAATGTACCATGTTGCCAATGTTGCAGCTGCCACCCACTGCTCCCCCCTTCCTCTCTGACAGAAGTACAGGGAGAAGTTTCCCCGTACTCTCTGATTTGAAATATTTTCCTTTCTTGTGTTTTTTTACCAAAATACGAAATAAAAATGATATAACTTTTAATGTGTGGTATTTATGTCTATGCACCCTGAAAGTGCCCATCTTCTCTATTGAATATTTGCAATTTTAAGGGATGTGGTGCATTAATCATATCTGGTCACTCGCTCGCCACTTCACTGTCAGATTTGAAAACAACGCTGCCGTGGGGGGCTCCGCCCTCAGGGCCATGTCATTCATTCACAGAGTTCTGTGAATGAATGCACTACAAGTCCCAACAGGCTTAGTGGCGGTCAGCTTGTAGTTATCAATGAACTGCCACGGCACTGTGGTAGTTCATTGAATCTACCTGTCCATATATCTGCTTGCTCTTACATCCCGTATGGCAAGCAGATATTCTGATAGGTCTTCAGGAGACCTGCATGGTATCAGCGATCCAATGATTGCTGGTGTAATGCTTTCCAGGCTCCTGCAGACAAAAATAATAAATGCACATTTGTATACCTGCAAAAAAAGTGTATTTATTATTTTTGTGCGAAAGGTGAACTTATCCTTAAAACACAAGAAAAAAAAAGGGGGGGGAGGTAAAAATTAAAAAAAAAAAAAAAAAAAAGCCTGCCTGTTTGCAATTTCTATCTTTTGCCCTTAATGGGAAGCGCCATGTTAGTCCAGGAGCAAGTGGATGTAACCGGATATGCCTCTGTTTACTTATGCATCCTTCCAGGTCATAAAGAAAATGGAAAAGTTCTGCATTCTTTCATGCAGATTTTTCCGGACCTAAAGATGATGGAACAGAGGTAGTCTGATGTAAATGGACACAAATCCATTTCATCCAGCTGCCCATAGATCTGACAGGGTTCCAGACAGCGCTAGGTTAAAAATGCAGAAAAAAACTGAAGCATGAATGTCATAAAATTGATATCCGTCCCATTCTACTCCAATTCTATTCCCTGCTAAAAAGTCTGGACAGCAGCCGTGTGAACGGGACCTAAGTGTGAATTGATTCAAGTATTGCTTTTAATAGCAGATACCTAAAAAATTATAAACATAAAGCTGAGTTCTAACTCCTACAGGAATACAGTAAGGATTCGGAGAACCTGATGGCAATTGCACCAACTACTTAGGGGTCAATTCACACCACATGCATTGGCCTGCAGTGGACAGTCTTACCCAACACAGCTCTAATACATAAACAGAGGAATTTGCCTCATGTTCCAATAATTTATTTCATGCCAGCACACTGCAGGGGT